CCGACGATCTATCTTCTATACGCAAATGGCTACCATATTGAAAAATATACTATTTTTGTATGATAATTATGGGTTTTGTATTTTATTTTAATAGAAGTTGATGTTGCTTTTGCAATTATCCATCAATTTTTTAAAATTAAACACTATCTACAGATTTGCATCGAAGCGTTTCTTATAATAGTGATTTTAATCACTGTCAGATTAAATCTATACTGGACCCTACTATGCAATGTCTCCACTATGCCACGACCCCACTGTGCTACCGTTTTTTTTTTAATATTATTACTAATTACATATAAAATAATAATTAAAAGAAAAAAAGATTTATTTTCAAACTATAACTGAATAGATTTTTAATATGTTAAAAATTCATGTTTTTTTTACAGCCTCGCAAAAGTTCAAAAACATGAGCTTTTTTAATTTTTTCAAAAAATATTTAACTTACAAAAAAAAAATTTCGTACAAAAATTGTTTAAAAGACAATTATATACAAAAAGATTATCTTATATTTTTTCATTCAAACAAATATTTTTCGAGTTACATTACATTTAATATGAGTACTAAAATGTATATTCTATTTTTTTCATTTTACGATTACTTTTTATGATGTTATACTTACATTAGACACAATGTTATAAATGCATATGTGTGTATGTGTGAGTTTATTTATTTATTGTATCGTAGAAGTGTAGTGTATATTAATATACAAGCGACAGAGTAGGTAATTGATTTGATGCTATTTTTTTTTCTTTTTTCACAATCCGGCATGATGTGGACCGCCCTGGAACTACCGCGAGGTATTGCTTCAGGGCGGCCCACGCCGTCTAAAATTCACACCACCACGTTGTGAATCAGCCCGAAATTAATCAAGAGCTGATTCACAACGTGGTGTGGCCTCCCCCGTTAGCCGGATCCCAAAAGGTGGGATCCATTGCCCGGGCTACACCACGTGGAGGTGGGGGCAGGACTTCGCGAGGGTTGGCTTACGTAATAATAATTCACAAAACAGAAATTACACACACAAACGGAGTGAGGAGGACAGGAGATGCTTATGAAGGCTTCTCCGGCCCCCCACCTTCTTGGGGCAGTCCCTCGACCGGTAGCCTTCCCCTCTGCACGTGAAGCACGCGCCGGTCCGGTCCGGACCGCTACAGGCCGTTTGCACGTGGCCCCTTTCGAGGCACCTGTAGCAGCGCGGTCCCTTGTCCTTTGGGACCCGGATCCGGCACGTGCCCCATCCTACCCTGAGCCGTGTCAGCCCGACCAACGGTTGCGAAGCCCTGATGGGCACCTCGCACCACGCGAAGCGTCCCTTGCCGCTCCCGTGCAGTCGGACTGACACTAAACCGGCGGGCGCCGTAATTGATTTGATGCTATATTGTTTAAACCCAACTAAACGCTAAATTGTACATTCCCAAACAACAATCATATTATGTCAATTGCCACCGGAATTTTTTTTTTCTTTGCCTTAATCCCAACTATTTGGGATCGGCCACCCTTATCCTAAGCTTCCATTTGACACAATCTCCCTCATCTTCAATGCTCACATCAGCTGTCCTCATGTCGCATTCAATAACATCCCTCAATCTCCTTTTTGGTCTTCCTCTACCTCTTTTTGGTTCAAAATTCATTTCTATAACTGTTCTTACAGCTTCCCATTCTTCTCTCTTCATAACATGACTAAACAATCTAAGTCTATTTTNTAGAAATTCATTTCTATAACTGTTCTTACAGCTTCCCATTCTTCTCTCTTCATAACATGACTAAACAATCTAAGTCTATTTTCTGTCATCTTATCCACGATTGACGCAACACCTATACTTCCTCTTATATGCTCGTTCCTTATCCTATCTTCTCTAGTCACTCCACTCNTCCTTATCCTATCTTTTCTAGTTACTCCACTCATCCAACTAAACATTCTCATCTCTGCTACACAAATTCTCTGCTCTACTCTCTTATCAACCGCTCAACACAATGAACCATACATCATAGCATACATTACAATTTCATACTAAATTTAAAAACTATAATTAGTATTTATTCATATATTACATTTTAAAATCAAAGAACTACTAATCAGGATATAATTAAAGAAATAAGAGTTCATGTTGCTTTTAAAATATTTCACCAATTTCTCTAAAGGAAACACTATCTACAGATTTGCATCGAAGCGTTTCTTATGATAGTGATTTTANGCAGATTTGCATCGAAGCGTTTTTTATTATAGTGATTTTAATCACTGTGAGATATCATCTATACTGGACCTAACTATGCCACGACCCCACTGTGCCGCCACCCTACTGTGCAGGGTTTTTATTATAAACGACTTAGTTAATCAAAAAATAAAATTGATATCAATATCAATTTTCTGTTTTGTTTCTTTTAGATACATGTTTTTCTTAATTAATCAATCATAAAGTATTTATTATTTATTTAAGTATTTATTAACTTTGTTTTTACAAATATCAAAATTCATAATTAACTAGCTTATTTAATAAGTAACGATTTACATATACTAAAGTTGTTTTCGGCCCATAACATTTTTTTGTGAGAAAGGAACAAAAAAGAGCTATTTTGAAGTATCAAAAATAAAAAAACGGTGGCACAGTGGGGTCATGGCACAATGTAAATGTGGCATAGTTGGAACAAGTATAGATGTTATCTGACAGTGATTAAAATCACTGTCATAAGGAACGCCGCTTTAATCCAAATCTGTAGATAGTGTTTAATTTTAAAAATTTGGTGGATTATTCTAAAAGCAAAATTAACTTCTATTTCATTCATTATTACTAATTGGTAGTTCTAAGATTTAAAAGTATAATATATGAATAAATATCTATTATAGCAATTTTAACATAATATGACGTTGATATTTAAAAATTTTAGTATTGTAATTGAATTTTGCACACAGCTACTGTTTATTAATTAATAAAGAACATCGTAGACCTTAATATAATAAAGTATAAAGCACGATTTAAAATAATATTAACTTCTTTCGTGATATAGAGCAGAGGTTCTCAAAGTCAAATGAATCACGTACCCCCATCTAAAGACCTACAGTTTTAAAGACCTAACCCTGATATGTGCTCGCGGACCCCTGGGGGTCCGCGGACCACACTTTGAGAAACTCTGATATAGAGTATAACCCTAGACTGTAATGTTGTGGAATTATCAGAAGGCATATTATACACGCAAAACGTGAGTACCTAGATATTGTCAAACAAAGCAGCTATAAACAGCTATTGTCAAACTGGCTTTCCAGTGTATTTTATAATAATAATTTTATTGAGTAGTTAGTAAAGTTAGGAAATTAAAATTTATATATAATTTTGTTATACCTTAAGTGTGATACGACTACGGCGTTGTCACACATTTGACTCCCGAGGTCGTGTCAGCTCCTTCGCAGCCACCGCTCCACTGTAATCCGGACCGTTACACACAAGCGTTATCGTCGTGGTGTAAAGTCCAATAAATGCCTAGTGTCGAATACCCGCCTCAATAATACGCCCAAGCAGTCAACTTCAACACACCGAAATCGTGTGTATCACAGTCCGTCAACTCAACCGAACCGCCACCGCAGTTTCGATCATTTTTGACATTCTGTCGACAGATCCATTTTAGAATTATTATTCAATAATTAGTATTATTGTTACTTTTGGTTTTCTTTTATTCTTTTGTGTTACCATTCTTTTTCTATTAAACGGCTCGACGCCACTTGGAAAACTAACCCAGTGTTATCTATTTTATTCGCCACCTGTTTTTTCCGTATCAAGTGATATAACGATAAACAATAAAAAGATAATTTCAAATTTTGAAATTAAAATAAAATCTACTTCTAACTGTGATTTAGATTATGATTATAAAGTTTATTCGCTATCTGTAGCTGTAAATAAAATTAATTATTTAGCACCTCAGAAGTGTTGCCTCTGTTGTAAAATAATAATATAAAGTAATTTAACTAATATGAACCAGCAACTAGTGGAAAGTATTGAAAATAACCGGGATGATACAGTCTTTTTGTTCTTTTTGTTAATGAACGATAGTTATTGTAATTTTGTGAAGTGAAAGTGATTAAATAATTAGTAATTTCATATTAATACAATTACTTTATTATTATTTTTATTATATACATAATTTTTTTAAAATAAATAAATATATACCTACAATTAAACATCATATAACAAGGGTGGTTAAATCCACACAATTTTTGGTAAAAGTTATGCTCCATAATATAAAGTAAATCTACAGAAAAAATTCAAAATATAATAATAATTATTTTAGTTCCATGACTATAATAGTTTATACCATGACAGTCAGTTAAACTATTGTTTCGGTTGCAGTGATAAAGAATTTGAATTATGATATTATAATGACTATTCTAAAAATAACTGGTAGATTTAAAGTATTCAAAAACCAAAATAGGAAGTAAGTTTAGTCGTTATGACTTAACTTACTTCCTATTTTGGTTTTTTTTTATATCATAAGCCTTTATTTAAAAATATTATGGCTCAAAAATTAATATGTGAAACAACAGTAAATATTACAAATGCATACATTTACACCAAAAGAAGTAACAGGAAAGAAAACAAAAGTGAAGTAAAAATTATTTACAAGAGATATTTATAATATAAGTTAAAAATATAATAAAAGCACTATAGCAAATCATTATGAGTAAATTAAATGAAACAGCCTGCATACAAAAGAAAAGATATAATTGAGTTAATATTGGACACAGTATGGCAATTAAGGATTAGAAAAGGATCAGGATTAGTTATACCACAAGTGACTAGGAAGTTAAATAACAAAGACCTATTAGAATCTAATTTGGATTAAAATATTAAAATTGATATTCTAAAACATTTATTCATATTTATTATTATTTTGCGTTAATTTGATTTTTTATTTACAATAGTTGTGTTTTTAGCTTACATTCTGATATATTTTTTTTAATGTGTAGTAAATTATTTTATATTAAAGTCTTTACTTTTAATTATAATCGAGAAATATTGGATTTACATTTAATAAACATCGAGAAATCAGTTATATGATCTTATTTAGTCATTTATCTCTAAAGAAGTATTTTGAAAATAAATGTTTATTCTTATTATATTGCCATAGTGATTAACAATTAGTAAACTTTAATAAATTTCATTGAAAAAATTAAACAATAAAAACTAAGATTTCTCATTAAATATTTATCATGGAAGTTAACTCAATACATGAAATATATCATGAAGAACTATCTCAAGATAGTATCGACACAAATATTAAAGATTTTGAAGATATTTTTCAAGAAAAGTAAATTCTTTTATTTTTATATATTATGTTACTTATAATATGTTATGCGAGACAATAAAATTTTATTTTTACTAATACTTGGCATTAAATAAAAAATAATTCAGAAAATTTATTCAAAATAATTCTCTGCTTATGTTTAAAAGCTAAAGTTATTCATTTAATTAAATAAATTCATAGAATAAAAATATTGCCATATATTTACTATCAATTCATATAAATTGATTATCTCAATTATTTAAAATTAATATTTTTTAGTGAATTACGTAATAGNACGTTTCTTCGACAAAACGTCCAGTCTCGTCCAGCCCCCGTCCCCCTATACTTTTCATGTTTCCCTTTTATAATCGTTTTTCCACCATTATTAATTTGCATACCCTGCATTTCCCATTTATATGGAATTATTATATTGCTTAAGAGTTCCAAAATTGCTTACTACTATTGTAAAGCTTATATTATACTAAAATCGACATATTTCAATACTTCCTCAGCTAATAACTACACTACCCTATGTTACAAAAAGAAAATATAACTTACTGGTAAATTATTTAAAATTAAACCTTATATTAAAGGTGTAATTAAAAATCATGTAGCTGTATTTCTTAATAGTATTTATTTTTTGTTAAGCTTGAAACTGCTAGTAAAATGTCTCAATTAAAGATATTAGATGATATAATACACTAATATGTACACAACAATAAATATATAAATTAAATTTTTTTTAATAATAAAAATTATATTTATTCTTATTATATTTTCAGGATGACTTGAAATTAAGCTTAACCCATATTAATAAGGAGCTAGAAAAAAAAGATGCTGTAATAAAAGAAATGGAAATAGATACTAAATTTAAAGAAAATCAAATTAAAACTTTGAGAGAAGACCAAAAAATTTTAGAAAATAGAATAGATACATTAGTTAAAAATGAAATATTTAATCAAAATTACATTGAAACACTTACCAATACAATACAGGAAAAACAATCTAGCCAACAAAAGAAGCAACTAGAAGTTAGTATTTTTTTTTAAATAAATAATATTTTTTACAATAATTGAATATTAATATTTTTTTAATTATTCTTAAATGCATTGTATTACAATTTATATATTATGTATATTTATAGTATAATTTATATAGAAATATTTTTTTTACTAATATGTTCAACATATTATATATTAACAATAGAAGATAAAAATAATGAGGTAGACAGAAAATTGTTATTTGTATCTTCTTGCACTAATTAATTTACATTAACTTTAGATCACTAAATTAAATGATTTGAACAACCATCTTAAAAATATGCTTTCAACAAATGAATCCGAATTGGTAGAAAAAGATAACATTTATCAAAATACAATAAAAAGCTTAGAGTCAAAAAATGTAAAACTCGTTGAAGAAAACATGAACTTACAGGTAAATTATTTAAAATTAAACCTTATATAAAAGTATAATTAAAAATCATGTAGCTGTATTTCTTAATAGTATTTATTTATTTGTTAAGCTTGAAACTGCAAGTCAAATATCTCAAATAAAGATATTAGAAGATAAAATACATGATTTTCAGTCTAAAGAACAGGTATAATATTCATCAGTAAACACCTTCCTTCATTACATATAGGGATGGCAAAATTGACACAATATCAATATTAAACAGTATTGATATTTTGTTTATAGCTTGTTTATAGATATTGAGATATCATTATATCTAACAAAAATATCAATATTTAAAGGAAAACTATTTTAATCCTGTATCACAAACACCATTATAACATGATGTATAGTAAAATTCAAAATCATTTTTTTTTAATGAACATATTTACCGTTATATTTTTTAATAATAGTAAAAAATTGATTACCTAATTAAAACACAGTCACAATGTACAATTTTTACAGGATTTTTAAGTGTGGTTATCACTCATTTTTATTTGAAATTGATATTTATTCTTAAATTAACAATAATTATTAGTTTTTACATCCTTCTATTTCTCGAATTTAACATGCTACAAAGGGTGGTGGCTCTCTTTCACATGGAGTCAAAGATGATTCTTGGCTAAGCCAATGATGAACAGGACAGGTATTATGGCCGGCTTGCACCAGAGAATGTAGTGCACAAATGTAACAAATAGACATTACCATTATCAGTTACAATAGCAATAATTTGGTGTTGACTAATTTCCCATTGAGTCATAATAATTTCAAATGCCTCACTAATATTTTCAGATGTTTGAGACTTACTTAACTCATGTACCTAATATTTAAAAATTTATACATTTTAATTAATAAATACGTAAAAATAAATAATTAGATTATAATAAGTAATTTTAATAATACCACATATAAATTGAGTGCATTCTAAAAAGTGTATAGTAACATCAATATAACTTTTCATTTGTAAATCTGTCTAAATATCTGATGTTATTGTAACACTATTGTTTTTCTTCAACTTATTAGAAAACACTTTAAATAGTCATATTTTAAATCCAATTTATTTTTTATCGTATTCCTAGATGGAACTGTGTAAAGGGGACAAGACACTTGTAAAAAATGTCTAAATCCACTTCCTTCAACAGTGGAAAATGGTACATTATCCTTGCAAATATAATAAATTAATGCATCAGTTATTTCTAAATTTTTCATTCCTCCTGCTATGAAAATTTACAAATTTAATAAAAAAACCAATTCTAATAATAAAGGGCATGTGTTACTTTTTTCCTAAACTAGTATTTAGTTGGTAAATTATAATAATTTATACNTAGTTATTTCTAAATTTTTCATTCCTCCTGCTATGAAAATTTACAAATTTAATAAAAAACCAATTCTAATAATAAAGGGCATGTGTTACTTTTTTCCTAAACTAGTATTTAGTTGGTAAATTATAATAATTCATACATACATACATTCTCAAAGAAAATTTTTTCTTTTCAATTTAAAGCTAAATTTAAGATAAAGTAATTCTACTACCATTTGAATTTTATTTTACTGTATTGAAAAACATTTATACTGTTTGTGTTAACAACATTACAATTGTTAACTAAAAGTGTACTCTGACCGGTCTAATCGTTATCACGTGTCTACTCCCTACAACGCACGTTATAGTGGACGTCACTACTACTGGCCGATCAGCTGTTGCACACCATACCCACACAACCACATTTTTAGGATAATATAGTGAAGTATTGTATAGCGGAATAATCATCTGTTGAGAAAAAATTTTATGTTTTTTTTTTTTATTGACTGCACTACTTGCAGTAAATTGTAAAACAATTTTTTTTCTTTTTGTTTCGATAATATTGTTAAATTAAACAGTTTTTTTAATTTGAGTAGTATTTGTCGTTATACAAATTGCGATCTTATTCTTCTCTTAAGCTACTAATTAGCAAATGTATTTTAAGTAATTGTGATATTAAAAATTGTTTAGTTACCTAAAAATTGTCTTTAATTAGTTAGTTCTTTTGGTATTGTTGTGGTCCGTGTTTAGTTTTAGGTAACATCTCTGGCCAGCAGCTCTGCAAATTGTGAGTACTATTGTTGATGTTTGTGTTCCATTTTTGTAATTTAATGTAGTTATTATTGATTGTGATTTATTGAACAGATTAGTTATTACAAGTTTTAGTTATTTAGTATTTATTTCATTGTAAGCGTAAGGCCAACGCACAACGATCATAAGGACCTTGTGAGTATAAAATAGTCACTATCGCTATGGTATTTGTTGTTTTATATTGTGGGTAAATTATTAAATTATTAAACTATCTTTAATTTTGTGTTATCTGTTCAATGTCATTTTAGTAATAATTATTATCTAGTAAAATTTGTTTAATTTATTTACTGCATCTTATTATTGAATTTTATACTATTATTCTTTATATTATCCTTTTAATTAATTTACATTATTTTACACCATTGATCTTGGAGTTATTTTTATACATATTGTTTATTACTATAATTATTTGAAAGAGTGAGTTTAGAGTCATTTATTACTGGAAGAGTCATATTAATTTGTTATTGATTTATTGAAGTTGTATAGTTCATTGTTGTTATTTTGTTAGATTTTTCAGAGTTTATAATTATATTATTTGTTGAGCCAAAAGGGCTAAATTTATTCATTTAAGGTCAAGTTATTCATTTAAAATATTATTATTAATTATTGTGAAAAGGTTTAAATTATTTATTTATTTAGTTTAATAGTACACACTTACATATATACACACTAACACATCTTTCACTACATAGATCACTGGTTGCTGCGCAGGCGAATCCTTCCATCTTCAGTGATTCTATTTACATACACCACACTATGCAGCCTGATCGGTATTGGTGCAATTAGCCGGTTCGGGTAAACATTATATTATTTAGTTTATTAAAATTTAATTAAATTATTCATTTTTTATAAAATTATAACAATAAAAATTGATCTTTTTTTAATTTATTACAAATTTTATTTAACCTTAATATTGAAATGAGTCTTGAAATAAAATCTTATCAAGAGAAAAATAATTCTTAAAATTTTCAGAATATATTTCAAAACCAGACTTGTGCCCTATTAACAAATTGTATTCAAATGTATTCATTAGTCAAATTGATTACCTTTCATTGATGATACATAATTAAAACAGTGCTCAATTAAAGGTTGGCACATTTTTCTTTGGGAGACATCTAACAAAACAGTATCACTAGTTGATGAAATAGGAATGTCAAATTGCTAAAAAATTATGATAGATTTACATTTCATATAAATTTTGAAATAAAGTCATGTTAATAGCATAATTATACTCACAATTAACACATTGTCAATCTGGTCAGAATCATCATTATCAATGTTTTAGGATTCCTTTATTTTTGAATTTAGTTGGTGTGCATTAATAAGATGAGAATGAAGATTAGATGTGTTGCCAGACTATAAACATATTTTACACACATACTTTACATTTAGCTGACAATTGACTTTGTCAAAATGACGCCAAAATTTATTTAATTTACCCATCACAAATAATAATACAAAATAAATAAATACAAAAAATTATTGAAAATTTTTGTAACACAAATTGCACCAAATATTATGATACTTTGCTACCGTGCCAATATGTTTTATTATTGTACAGTATATTTATACAACAAAACACGGAACATAAAATATAATAACCAAAAAGCTTCAAGTAAAAAATACATAAGTATTATTAACAATTTATTGTTATCATTTATATATTAATAATAAATTATTTGATTTCATTAATCATGATAAATATCATTAATCAGCTAATAAAAAAATTATTATTCATACCTAGATAATTTTAATTAATTGTTAATTTGTAATTTTTGATATATCGTTTCCATCCCTAACTACATACTCTATGTGTTAAAATAATTGTAATTCAATGAATATTTGTCATAAAATTGTTATCGACCATTCAAAAATTTTTGTAAGAAAATTATTTTATTATTTTAGAAATTGAATCAACAACTAAGAGATGTTACAAATAAAAATAAAATTTTGGAACAAAAGTTAAGTGAAAGTGTTGATTTAAATGAAAAATTAGACAGTGAATTAAATATAATTTTAGACATTAATAAAGAAATGGACCAAAAATTAGAAGAATCCTACAGAAAAATTGATGAACTTATATCTAGTGAAAATAAGAACAGTGTTTTAATGGTATTTTTAAATTATATATTAATATAATATTTAAATAATCTCAGTACATTTTAATATGGCTGCCTGTCTTTTATTCTGTATCTTACGAATTTAAAATTAGTATATAAATTCTAGAATTCATATTTTAAATAATAGTTGAGTTAAACATTTTAATAAAGATATGTTTCTAAATACTTTTATTTTTTTATTTTTAAATAAGCTTATTTAAAAGGCTTTTAAGTTAACCATAGCTGAACAATTTATTTTTGATTTTATGGTGCCAAATTATGTAGCCATAAAAATTTTCATTCAAACTTTATTCTTATTTTTAATAATATTCCCTTTTTTTATGTTTTATATGATTTATACGGTGGACAAAAAAATAAAATGTTTATAGGATTAAAAAATATAAGTTTCATAAATTTAATTTATAATCTTTAGAAACAATTAGAAAGCCAGAATTTAGCTAGACTAGCTAAATTTATTGGACACTTTAAACAACAATTAAAAAGTACAGAAAAAGCTCTATTAAATCAAAAGACNTTGGACACTTTAAACAACAATTAAAAAGTACAGAAAAAGCTCTATTAAATCAAAAGACTCAGGCTGAACAAGATAATCAAGTTTTTAAATTGAAGGTATTTTTATATCTATGCTTCATATTTTACTGATTGATAGACATATATATAAAGTTAATACTAAAATATTTTAATTGATTATTATCTATTGTATAAAATATCAAATAATATTTTTATTTATATTAAATAACGTTTTTTTTTTTAAATATGAAATTCTTTTTAACCATTTATATGAGGTACATAGATACATAAGTGACAGTTTTTATTTTCTATAACACCGTGTAAATAAAAAATGTTTATCATGATTTTTATGCAATTGTTTTATTAATTGATACTACTTATTTCAGTTTGATTATACTTCTAATTTAAATTGTTTTTTAATGTCACTTATACTTCGTGTATTCTTATCATCTCATATATTCTTTACAGGTATTTATTATATGAATGTAATATTATTTATTTTATTCAAATATCAATTTTATTTTATTTTTAGGTTTTAGAACTTCAAAAACAACTTAAACAATATAAACAAAAATACCATAAAATGTCAAAAGACTATGAAATTTTAAAATTAAGTGGAATCCAGGATACTGATGTAAAATAATGTCTTTATTAATTTTATTTTATTGGAAAATTTGTACATTTTTTTATTTTAGATTAAACTACAAATACAATTAGAAAAAACAGAAAAAAAAGTAATGGAGTGGCAAAAAAAATATAATGATTCCTTATTTGAAAATCATAACATTCAAAATAAAGTATCAAAATAATATACAAATGAATTAAGATAATGTGGTGTACAAATATTTTTCAAATGAATATGTTTTCAATTAAGTATAGGTATTATATTTTCATCCAGTATATGTAATCAAATTAACTTATTATACAATAATTTGATTTTCAAATGGAGGATTCATAAATAAGATTATTATTAATTTGAGTTTAGTCTTACATACAATATAATTTCAGAAAAAATTTTAAGTGCATTGGTTATGTTAAGCACCTCAAATGTTGTAGATTTTGAGTGTTATAAGTAAAGTTCAGACACAATATATGTATATCCTTAAATAATAATCTATGTAGCTAAAAATGACCTATAAATTTAACTTTTAGCGCTAAAATGAAAAATTAACCATTTATAAATTACTTATTCCTGAATACACTATATATAACACCAAAAATTGAACTGCATCACCTTTGTCTGCCCTCAACAAATTATTTATTTGATCATGAAAAAATGACAATTTATGTATATTAGGTGTGAACATTATAAATTAATTATGTACTTATGCCCTTACTAACGTTTATGACATTGTTAAGAATTTATAGCACTTCTCTATTTATAGCATTCACCCTTGATTAATAAATATTTATTTAAAAATTTTAATTTTTGGAGGCAATGTGATGTACAAGTATAACAATAATTATCATTAGAAATATGAAACTTAAAAATACTGAAAATAATTTTCTTCACAAAATTATTCTTTTAAGTGAAATTTAATGAATAGCAACAACAAATTACTCTAATAATATTTTTCATGCATCCATTATATACTTATTTTTAAGTAGCTTTGTCAGTTATTAATAAATTTACTAAACATACCAAACATTTTATAGCTAGAAAGTTTGGAAGGTGAATATCAACACTTACAAAATAAAATACATGAAATGCAAGATAAGCATTTCCTTGATGAATGTGAGAAATTAGAAAGTAACATTAAGGATTTTAAACTTCAAGAAGAATTAAATCGAAAACAATCTAGATTAATTGTAATAACAAAATTTTACTAGAGATTTTTATTTATAACTTTATTAAAATATTTTTAAAAAATTCTAGACAAATTTGGAGGTAGAAAAGACAAAATTAACAAGCAAAGTAATCAAATACCGTTAAAAATACAACAAAATTAAAGCATATATAGAAGAAGTTAAATCAATGATAACAAGTCAAAATATAAAAAAACTAGTGGAAGAAAATATTGATCACTGTAAAACAAAGGTTAGAAAATTTTTTAATAAATTAAAAAAAATAGACTAATTTTTATTATTATTTTATTTTTAGAAAACAATACAAAAGCAAGCGATAGATTTGCAAAGCTATGCTAAAGAATTAAGTAATATATTGAGTGAAAAAGTAAACAATGATTTTCTGTAAACTTAATTCTTAAATTTCAAAAAAAATATCACTTATCTACAGTCTGCTACTACTAGTTCGTGGTAATGACAAGCTATTAAGACTTATTATCCCTGAGCTTGAGTTGTCCTTTTTAAAAGTACAATGAAAAAACTATGAGGTAAACGTAATATGTCTAAATTTAAGTAAGTTTGAATATCATTCAGCTAAATATGGTTTTATTTTGGAATTTTAGTAATTTTGTGTAATTGCTATAAGACGTATGAAAATGACTGCATAAAGATATACTGGAAATCAATTAGATAAAACATATTATAATTTACCAAAAAAAAAAATTCCATGGATCACATAGATCAAAGACTTGATAAGTACCATTTACTTAAATTTGTTTTATTAACTATTTGTATTTATTTTTTACTTTAATTTAAAATGAACATTATTTTGTCTTAGTTTATAATTTATAAATATATAATAAAAAATAATCACATGTGGCTAATTAACTAAATAAAATTAAAACTATATTAAAAATATTATTAATTTAAAAAATAAAAAATATTAAACTTAAAAGCCACAAAAAGTTACTAAAAAGTAACGTATTTCAGAAACAATGTTATTATCAACACTAAACATATACCGTATGTGTTGTATGTAATAATTTTTAATAGTAGTTCTTTAAGCAGATATATTATTGGTTTCATATCTTTTTTGCATTTTTTATAGTTTTGAATGCATAGTCTACAAATTTTTCATTCTCTGTATTACATANTGCATAGTCTACAAATTTTTCATTCTCTGTATTACATAATTTTTCATACGTAGCTGAACGTTCAATGTCAGCTTTATCTTATAAATGTAATGCTACTTTATCAGCCTAAAATTGGTTATGACATATAATTAAAACATAACTATTGTACAATTTCAACTCACACAATTTTTATTCAATTCTCTTTTTAACCTAATTATTGTATGAGCTTGTATATTCCTACAATATTTTTTGGATTCATATAATATTTGTATCTATTCATTTCTTCTTTGCAGTCCGTTATTAATCTTATTTCATTTTCATTAATTTTCTTAAAATTGTCCATACCTTCTTTTCTTCTATTAAACTTCTCTTTTTTATAGCGATGTTCTTCTTGGAACCTAGAAATAAAGTAAATGTAGGATTATAATACAAAAATTTTAAAAGATCCATTTGTTAAGATATTATTTGAACTAATGATTTTTGTATATTATTATTACATAAATCAATGTAGTTTAAATTTTTTATAATCTATTACGGTTGATTACATCTACTACACTGTATTACACATTACCTATTATAAACAATTTTTTTATTTAAATAGCCTATTAATTGATGAAATAAATATTTATTAATTTAATTTATTTACAAACCGTTTTTCTTGTTCATTTATGCATTTTAGTAAATTTAATCCCCTGGANTTGTTCATTTATGCATTTTAGTAGATTTAATCCCCTGGAATATTTTTATTATTTGATTTTACAGTTATCTTCTCTTGCAATGTTTTCAAATTCAATTTTTAATTTTTTTTTTTTTAATTGTGTTAAAAGCAAGCGAAAATGTTAACACTACTCCAATGAACATAAATAGAAGTATAATATGTAATAATTATCCTTTATTTAAATTTAGTAATAATTAATATTGCTAATAGTGTTGGAATTTATTTAATCCAAGATGGATTAAAGAGTAAAATGCTATATTGAATTACACTAATTCTATTAAATACAATTACCTAATCACTTGATAATTATCATGACTCTAGAAAATTTTTTTGTTATTGCTATTGATAATAATATTTTACCCCAGTAGCAATTGTCGAAAATTTTTTGTATTCATATAATATTTGTATCTATCCATTTCTTCTTGGCAGTTCGTTATTCATCTTATTTCATTTTCTATATTACATAATTTTTCATATGTAGCTGAACGTTAGTAGATTTAATCTCCCAAATTATGTTTCTTACTTGATTTTGCAGTTATCTTCTCTTGCAATGTTTTCAAATTCAATTTTTTATTTTTTTTTAGCTGTAATTTATTTTTTTTTTTTATTGGGTTAAAAGCAATGTTAACACTACTCCAACAAATATAAATAGAAAGATAATATATACTAACTATCCTTTATTTAAATTTAGTAATAATTAATGTTGCTGCAGTGTTCAAATTTATTTAATCCAAGATGGATTAAGGGTAAAATGCTATATTAAAGTACACTAATTGTATTAAATACACTTGATAATTATCATGACTCTAAAAAAAATTTTTGTTATTGCTATTGACAATAATACTTGACACCAGTGGCGACTGTAGAAAATATTCAATAAATCCGATTAATTCCTTAGAGTTACATTTTAAAAATCTAGACACAATTCGATTTAAAAATTACCACCTTTTGGATACAAGGATTAGTAGGGACAATCGTGTTACTTTTATATACTTATTACTTATATATAATCTTATATTCTAAAAAAAGGTTTAAAACTACTTATACTAAAATCCATTAATTATTCATTAAAATGAAGGAACAAATCTACTTTATGGGACACCCTTTTTTTTCAAAACATTCGTTTTTTGATGTTTTTTTTCAAAAGTGTTTGAAAAAATTGGCTTAAAAATTTTTTAATTTAAAGTCTGACACTTTTATCTATATCATAAATTAAAGCTAATATAATGTACTTTTTTATTTAAACAAATGTCGGACTTTATTTTGTCTTCACGGTGAAAATATCTACCAAATGCTATTTTTGTGTGAAAATTCTCGATTTTGTATTTTACATTTTTAACTTAATTATGCTATAACTTTTTGAAAAATGTATGGATCAACACAATTTTTGTATGAGAAATAATATTATTTAATAATCCCTTTTTCATTCGACATACTTTATCTTAATCAGGATATTAATAAGGAAATAGCAGATCATGTAACTTTTGGAATAATCCAACAATTTTTTAAAAATAAACACAAATTTTGAACTTGTCAGATTCATAGAATGGGATANTTATGGGACACCCTTTTTTTTCAAAACATTCGTTTTTTGATGTTTTTTTTCAAAAGTGTTTGAAAAAATTGGCTTAAAAATTTTTTAATTTAAAGTCTGACACTTTTATCTATATCATAAATTAAAGCTAATATAATGTACTTTTTTATTTAAACAAATGTCGGACTTTATTTTGTCTTCACGGTTGGGTTGGGTTGAAAATTCTCGATTTTGTATTTTACATTTTTAACTTAATTATGCTATAACTTTTTGAAAAATGTATGGATCAACACAATTTTTGTATGAGAAATAATATTATTTAATAATCCCTTTTTCATTCGACATACTTTATCTTAATCAGGATATTAATAAGGAAATAGCAGATCATGTAACTTTTGGAATAATCCAACAATTTTTTAAAAATAAACACAAATTTTGAACTTGTCAGATTCATAGAATGGGATAATATTTAAGGAGGAGTGGAGGGAGCCCCCCCCCACAAGCTTTTCATGGGAAACAAATTATGGAAAACGATACAAGGGCCCAAAATTGTTGGCCCCTCCAATTAACATTTTCTGGCTACCTGCCTGTATATACATACACACTATGTATTGTTATAACGATAACAGATTGCGACACTTGCTAGTTTTATGAAATGACCTTCTGTTGACAACCTTCTGCTTATAATTTCTCATCTTTTTAACGCTGTATCAATGTTTCACTAATATTATATTTATAAAAATGCTTCTCAAGTTGGTATAAAATTTAAAACTAAAAAAACGAAATAACTTTAAAGAAAAATTATCCATTTTTATAACCTATATTATTTAACTACAATCGCAACTTTAAAGCACTTTAACTTTTGAACCACATGCTTCCGCTCAAAAATATTTACATATTCTTAATATGTATAAAAAATAAACGTTTTGAAAAAAAGGGTGTCCCGTAAAGTAGATTTATACCAAAATGAATTCGACGGGTCATCTTAATCAATAATTCTATCGAAGACTTCTTCGCTGTCACAGGACCTCTCTATTTTGAATTGCGATGTACGTCTCGATCATTCCCCTTAAAAAATATGTCGATCATTTCCCATGAAAAATATAATTATTTAAATATCAATATATTTTGAATAAAAATTTGATTATTGCATACTTACTCGTGTATAACTATTCATTTCAATATTTCCAAACCTTATTTCCCTTGTTTATCTTTGAGTCAGATAATCAAGTAGTCGAGTAACTAGGTCAATTATTAACCTCTATAGTGTATAGTTGCATTCACCTGGTTACAATTTTGCCATCTCGCCATTTTTCACACCCATTCATAGCCAGTCACCACCAACGCCACAGCCACGGTCAATGTCACGACCATTACTATGACTTTTGTCATTTTATTTTAGGCCACAGTCCCTATCTTATAGAACATTCAAATCGCAAGCCTTAANCCTATCTTATAGAACATTCAAACCACAAGCCTTAACATCTTCGTGTAATTTCGTATATAGTGACTTGATCACCGAGACATCAAATTACCACAAATCTTACATATTTATGTTCTATCCTCCCTCTGGTGACGACCATTGGATGATTAATTACTAGCTATAAAATTAATTCCTTATTACTATTACTATTGAAATATATAGTATTGTTATATTATTATTATTATATTATTATTTTGGGGCCTCAGCCACATTACAGCATATTATAGTCGACAAGTCCGATTTATTTAATTGTGGAATATATTTCTCGGCAAGTCCGATTTATTATATTGTTGCATATTTATATTACTATTATTTTCGTCAAATCCGATATATTTAATTGTAGCATATATTTTATATATTATTATTATTCCGTTCGACTAGATAG